TGTCACATCTTCACTGACACACAGTCATTAGAACTTTAACCAACTCAACAGGCTTTTAATGACATTCCTTTAAGTTGATTGAAGGGGGAGTGAAGTATTTACGGCTCCACACTGTGAGGTGGAGTTGGTGTTGGGGGAAAGAAAGTGCAGTGGGGTCGTGTTACTGGTCGGCCAAGTGTGGTAAAACACCATGGTGTCCTGCTTTATGAGTGAACCGTGTTCTCCACAGGTCGCTGTTGTTGGTGCAGCTGAGTCGGGGGCCAGGGGCTGCCGGTGCCCCGGTTTGATGTGTCAAGGGTTGTGTTTGTAAAAACAGGCTCTTTAATGACACTCTGGCCCTTTTGCAGCAGTCTGTCCCACCCTCCCTCCATCAGCACCAGTCAATCTGGAAGCCATTTGCTCCGTAGAGAAGGTTCAGGTGTGATCACCTCCAGCATCTGCTGAGTGTTTATTTACCCGAAGCACTTAACCCATTAGACAAACTGAAACAGGACAACTGTGGAGCCATCAACACTAGACCACATTCAGGGGTGGATGATTTTGCTTAGAAACTTCTGGCTTTTCCTCCCCTACACTTAAAGACAGATATTGTACTTTTGACTCCACTACATTTCTATGAAGTACTCTTACTTTGAAGCAGAGAATTTGGTCAGTGGAATGATTTTATGATTGATTATGAATTATTTTATGTTGAAAATGTGACAGACCATACACTAGTGTTCATCACAGGAGAAAACAACTCCTCCACTGTCAGTCATGTTTGAACCTGTCAGTGTCCTAACCATGGCGACGTTAGATAAAGATGAGGCAGAAGATTCTTCAGCAGAGACCATGCTCTGATCTGAGGTCTGTGTTTGAAGGTTTAAAGACAGATTCATTTAGTTTAAAATGTTTGCTGTGTTTACCACGACCACACTTCATCACTGAAAGAGAAATACAAAAACAACAATAGCTCCTCTTGTTGATTTGAATTTCTTCAAATTTGGCACAAACATTCACTTGAACTTAAGGATGAACTGATCAGAATTCGGTGGTCAAAGGTCAAAGGTCACTCACAAATTTGTTCACTAATTATGACACAATTTAACTCAAATATCTATAAGGATAAAATGAAGTGATGACATTTTATACCCAAAAGGTCACAGGTCAACTTCACTGTGACATCATAATGTTCTGTAAAACACTAACTCAGGAAGGAGAGATTGTGACCATATTTCCTGCAACTTGGCTGGTTGGTGGAGGAAACAACCATGAGGAGGTGATTCTAGTATTTGGCTGGACCACAACAGCAGGGCCAGCTATATAATCTGGATTGACTGAGTGATCATATCTCCACCACTGGTCAGCCGAGTGCCTCGTCACTGAGTTGGAGTGTCTGGTGCCAAGGTTCTATTAGGGGGCCGTTTACAGCTGCAGTGTTGACAATTTAGCTCATTGTCTCTAGATTGAAGACTTTTTCTTGTTACAGGCAGTCTACTGAGCTGCTCTGGTTTCCCAGCTGCTTGGGAACTGCAGGGAAGAGGAGGGGCACCCTGTTAAGAAATAAAGGGTTTCTATCCACTAAAACACTACAGGGCTTTTAATTTTGAAACACTTACAGGAAGTGTTGAGTTTGTATTAACAGGTCATGCACTAACTGTAACACGACAGACGGTAGCGACTGAAAACAAGGCTTCACACTTAAATACCTCTATTGGCCAACTCTACATATCTAACAGAGGGAGTTAGACATAAAGACCTGCCTCTAATAAAAGTCTGTTATGTTCTAGAGTTGAAGTAAATAAAGAATAAACTATTGTGGATCCAGATGGAGGCTGTGCTCTGAGAGACTAAATAAGAAAGATCGTCTGTCTCTGGCCCCAGTGGTTCACCTGGAGGAGCACACTCCCTCTCTCTCACTATGAGTGAAGTAAATGCAACATTGTGGTTATAAAATCAAGAAGCATACCAAGGCATTTTAAAGGCTTGTGCTGCATTACTCTGTGATACTAATACTTTACTATATTATATACAGAATATATTATTATATATTTACCCTCACTGATACCTGTTGCATTAAACTGCACTAGTCTTAGCAAGGAGTGCTTAATAAACTGGCAATTAAGTGTGTTTTTTATATTAAATCTTAATCTGTAACTGTAAAAGTACAATAACTAGCTTGCAAATAAACATTATAGTGGAGTAAAAAGCAGTTGTCTCTGAGATGTTGAGTATAATGTGGCATAAAATGGAAACACTAAAGTAAAGTTATTGCCTTAAATCATACTTAGGCACAGGACTTGAACTATTTCTCTCCATCACTTCCAATCATCACTGGACTGGATCACTGTTCTTTAAATATCATTGCGATTCTGCTTGTCTTTCACACCTAAAATTGCGAAACCCCCCTCCTCCCCATCACCACCACCACCATAACCTCCATGATGTCCAGTAACCACTCCACCACCAGCATCTAGACTAAGGGGATCCTGTCATATCGCCTAACTTCATATGGGCCTAATGAATGAATGAATACAAAGGCAAATGTGTGATCTTGTGCAAAACTGAAAACAACACAAATCCTCAATTTGAGCTTCATTGGGCCAGACAAATTCAATTGGACCAGAAATGAAGTTAAATTGTAATTTCTTCCAGGATGGAAAAACACTTCAGGTTTCTAAACACTGGAAACTGGTTGAATGTGAATGAAAAATGTTTCAACTGTGCGTCTATTAATACTTTGTTCAAACACTGCATCGGTTCATTTTTTTTCCTTTTTCTGAGGTTTATTTTCGACAGCTGCGTTACCTTTACTTGTCATTTGTATGCAGAAGCACTTTGAATCAAGTTTCTTATTGGAAACATTGAAAACTGGATGCATTTGAAGGCAAATGGTTTTATTTGAGTTGGTGTAAAAACATTACGTTCATTTGAAGTGTGTAGCTCAGAAACATTAGTAACTGGATGAAGGTGAATAAAAACACGGTTACACCTTAATTTTTCTTCATGTCTCGTCTAAATGCTGCGTTTGATCTTTTTCACCTTCACTCAATCAAAAAGTTTATTTTGATGACTAGATTCTTCAGTTCTCAGATCTTATAAACACGTTTCCAGCTTAAAAACATTGAAAATTGGATGAACATGAAGAACATGGCTTAATTTGAATTTTCATTAAAACTGTGTCCAAACAATTCATTGTGGACTTCCTTCTCTGAGAAAAGATTGTTTTGACAATGTTAGGGTCAGGCTGTCATTTTTTCCTAAAACCTTGTGAGCAAGTTTCTCCATTAGAAACATTAGAAGAAGAATATGAAGGGAAACACAGTTTTACTTCACGACTAAAAAAATTGTAGAAACTTTTTTTGGGGAGACCAGGATAAAGGTTTTCTGTTGGACTCCTATTGCTTACACTTCTCATACAGTAGAGACACACTGTACTATAGAGCACGTCAGATGGCATCTTATTAAGCACAAAGGCCCAGAAAAAAAAAAAACGTACTCCGAGGCTGGAATACAAAGTGGCCCCAGGTTTTTCTCCTTGTGGTAATTCAAGAATTAATTTAGGAAACGCACTATGTTAGCACAATAATTTAATTATGTTTCAACTACATTTTTATAGTGCCATGGGATTTACCTAATAACGCATGGCCCCAACTCCAGAGTGCCCTGTATTTTCTGGGGCCCCTAGGCAGCTTCCTGCTATGCCCTCTCTGTTATACAGCCTTATTTAAAGGTGTTTTACTGCCAAAACCTGTAAAGCCAAAGTGGTAGTTAGCAGTAGTCTTCAAAATAAATCCTAACTTAATGGTAACACCAAGTTTCTCATTTATGTCACATTTCAGTTTTTTTCAGCTAATAAATGAATGACATACATGTTAATGAAACTGACCATGTACATTCCAAGTTATCAGTCGTCGTAATTATTCCTTCAAACACCAACACGGAACTTTGTAAAAGGCGATACCAACTAGATTTGTCTAAGTGAACCTGTAGAAACCTCAAGTTCAGATACATACTTCAGAATCCATTTTCACACGGAGCGAGGACTGTGGCTTTGTTCCTGTCTTTTAGTGTGACATTATGAAGGGATCACCTCAGCCAGTATGAACAGGAGGGACACCTACAGCAACCCATGACTCGGTGTGTATTTAGGTTTAGAAAGAATGTGTTAAGACACTTGGAAAAACTTTGAAGTTATCCTTTTAAACATAGCATTGTTTTAAAAAATGATCGTATGCACTCTGTAACCTTGATGCTGTGTGGAAAGTGTGTGTGAGAAGAGTGGTCTGTATGAACATGACAAATAAAACAGTCAGATGTACCTGATAAATAAAACACGTGTTTATTTACACAAATATTTTCAAATACTAGTCTTCTACATAAGAACATAAAAATATATACAGTGATGTAGGGACTCGAACTGCTCTGTTCACAGGTCAACGTATACATTTTCTGATTTATTTGCATTATAAGGTTTTGAAATGGGAAAATAAAAGTATGCGTATGTACTGCAGGGTCTAAAACTTAAACTTTCAAACTCTGACACTAAAACACTGCGCAACACGCTACCCTTCAAGTGCTATTCAACAATTCAACTTCAATACTTCCCTCAACATGGTGGTGAAAGCCAATTAACTATATTACTCATCACTAAGCTCACCCATGTCACAACACTAATAGCACTTCAGTCACCTGCAGATGATTATTGTATCATGCCGTGATCTTATTCACTAGAACCCACACTTTCAACCTGTGTCAAGGCGTCTCCATAAGTAACTTCCACAAAATAAAACTAGGTCTGAGTCTCTTCTTCCAACCATCTGGGTAAACTTTGGTTATGTCTTGGAGTAATTCAAGAAAAGCCACTTGAAGCAGTTCAAGGATCTGGAAAGCAGCACGTTTGAGAAACTTTCTTTGAGAACCTGAATGAACTTTACCTGGTTTCTTAAGAGATCAGAGTACAACACTAGAGTTGATCAAACCACCTGATGGTAATGAACCTTATCCAGCAGTCCACAACATTGCAATACAAAACAGTTTAATAATGGATGACATGACTGGGAGTCGTATTATCAAAAGAAGACTGGTGATCTGGTGTGGTAAGAAAGGCAAGACAGGACTACTCAGGCAGAGAAAGTGTTCAAGTGTCATTGCGTTCACATACAGCTGGAGCACAGGACAGCACCAAACACTTCCAAAATGCTGCAACATGGAGGGTGTAAAGACTGGTCTCGGGAGGTAAACTGAGTGTTTTCATCAGATGTTGTTTATGACAATGCTGCAGTAGTGAACTACACAGGATGTGCTCCTCTTGAACATCTTTTTTTCTTTTGCCTTCTGTTGATGTACTTATTGACCAGTGCCTTCACTGTCCAAACTAAAACACAGGGTGGGGCTGGGCGGGTCCTGAGACCCAAATCCGCCATGGACAACACTCGCTCTCAGACTCACCACACAAACACACACCCATGTAATCACTACAGCTTGTGAGAAAATGGAGGGATTACCTGTATATTTCAGTTACACAGAACATTCATTTCAGATGTCAGGTAAACACGTTCATTCAAGGAAGGAAAGGAATGCAGAAACTTTTTTTTTTCTTTGACGACAGTGTCCTCCAGCCAGGGGCACACTGAGTTAGACAGGATGTGGTGAGGGCTGGCAGAATGGCACCTGTCTAGTTCTTCACCCGAGCTGGGTGGTGGTGGTGGTGGTGGTGGTGGTGGTGGAGATGGGAGAGATGAGGATTTAGATGGGGTGTCACTGTGGGGCACCAGCAGCAGCGGGCACCGGGGTGCTTAGGGCATTGGTGGCAGCAGACAGGACCGGCGTGCCAATGAGAGGGCCTAGGGCAGTGGAGGCTGGCAAGGCAGAGATACCTGAAAAATGAGAGCCAGAGAGACCATTAGAAAACTAGCACAACACACTGTATGCTCATTTCTGAGCAGGAACCACTATTTAATAAATGTGTCACTTATCTCTTCCACCCAGTCCCCATACAAAGCACTTTTTTACAGCAAAGATACCCAACACTAATGTTCTGTTCATTGAGGTAAAGGAAATGCAGCACTCACACTTGAATAGTCTTGATATTTAATATGGGGCAAACAACTAGCATTTTTCAGCTGTCAGCTATCAGCATAAGAAACATTGCTCAGACAATATATACATATATATGTATATTAGGGATCTACTGAAATGTTTTTTCAGGGCCAATACCGATTATTGGTAATCAAGGAGACTGATAAACAATATTTGGAACCAATATGCCAACACAAAACTGCTGCCATATAAGGACACTCAACGTGGCATCCAGGTGTTTCTATTATGTTGTCCACTCTATTATATCAGTGAAAGTGGGCTTGATAACAGAAACACCTTTGTATGATATAATACAGCTACACACACACACTACATCCTCCATAATGATCATACAGATAAATCAACAACTGACTAAAACAATTTTATTACAAACTGAATATTATAACCTTCATATAGCTGATGATTGTCACAATGGAGGTTGCATTACTAGGTTTATCAATTCTAACCTCAACTTTGCTAGCAATAAAGCTTTCACCTCCATTGTGAATGAAACAACACTACTGCCTTTTTGCCCACAACTAAATGCGCTATCTAGCAGGTCACATGAACGTGTGTTAGGGTGCACTGCAATGGTAGAGACAAAATGAATCACTCTTCTAGTTACATGTTTCACAAACCAGAAAATATCTCCGCTCATCACCCTCCTCCATACCATGTGAGCATCTCACAGTGCACCACAACCCAGTGCTGTTAAATTAGGAGTGGTGAAGAGTTACTGGAGATATAGAATAATTACATTTTAATTTACGTTTTATTTGTTTACTTTATTCATTTTTACAAGAAAGTTATTAATTCATTTTATTTATATAAAAATTATGTGAGGTTTATAAGAAACATTGCACCCTGCACTTTTCAACTTGCATGTTATACATGTTGAAATGTTCCATTTCCCAGTGTTTAATTAAACATATGTTTAACAGCATTTAAAGGAAGTTTCATTTATCACTATGGGGGTAATTATGACAGTTAATAGTGATCACCAAGCTCTAACATGAATTTTTTATTTCTTGTTGGAAATTTTAGTTTTTTTTTCCTCTACCTCCTATACATAGTTTTGACCATTATTCCTATTGATTAGGGCGCTGATTCATTGAGATCTGACAGTGCAGAAAAACTGGCAGCAACAGCTTTACAAGAATTTAATGCAGGCTAATGCAGAAACCTGAGGAATTACACAATTACACCTGTCAACCAATATATTGAAAGGAAGAGGGAATACTACTTTTACGATACTGCTTATTGATCCAGTACTTTAACAGTTCTCTTATTGGTAATTTGTTATTTTATAAGTTTAGTTTTCTCCATTGTCACAAAGAGCAGGGTCTCTGTGTTTGTGCTGCACAGTGCTCCAGCATGAGACACAGAGCTGCCCCCGCCCCTCACACATACAGGTTCTGAGAAAGAGGTCTCTTCCTCTGCGTTGGGAACAGTGAAAATGCATCATTCATGGACGAATGTCTTAATCAGAAACAGAGTTGGTGAGATAAAATGTGCGAGAGAACTTTTATGCAGGAATAAAAAATGGGAAATCTAAATTTCTCCAATACCGAGAGCAGAATCGATGATGTTGGAGCTTATCAATACTACAATCTTTTATCTAGAAGATATTGTTGCAGAATAATAAATTTGTCATGTACGTGTGTTCTCACCAGTGATCATGCTGGCTGTGCTAACAGCTGTATTCCCACTGGGCAAGTTGGCTGATCCGGCCACACGAGACTGATCTTTCACAATGGGGACTGTGGGGACAACAAATATAAATAAATCACTTATTCTGTCTTTGCCATCACTGATTTTGATTACATTCTTATAATCATAACCACAGGGTGTTTATGAGGGCTCACAGAAGTAAGGGTGATCCATGGCCTCATGGGCGGTCAGCCGGGCTTGGTGGTCATAGCGCAGCAGCTTGTCCAAGAAATCCAGAGCCTCGGGGCTGACCAAGTGCTGGTTCTCACTGTGGACGAACCTCTCCCACCGCTTACGTGAATGCCTGTATGGAAAAAGCAAAATAAAAAACTCTGAATTCTCAAATCAATTTAGAAAGAAGGAAGCGGAGTCTTTTAGAAAGACAAATGTGACAATCAAACCAACAAAGCAAGAGAACTGGAAGGAATGTGAAATTTCAAGTATCAAAGCAAGGGGTCTGAATATTTATGTCAATGGCATATTTCACTTTTTCCTTTTTCATAAATTTGCAAAGAATTCTAAATTCTGTTTTCACTTTGTCATTATGGGGGGTTGAGAGTAAACTGATGATTTTAGCAGCAGGCTGCCGCATAACAATATGTGACAGACGTGAAGGGGTGTGAACACTTTCTGAACGCATCGTAGCTCTTCCTTTCCTATGTAAATGCTAAGAATAGTAACAAAACAAAAGCCTGCACAGTCATGATGACACCATCATCATCATGTTACTGCAGTAACAGCTCTCACCTTCCCAGAATGTCATTGAAGCGAGGTTCCAGCTCAATGTTGTACTTGTCAATGTAGTCGTACAGGTCTTCAGTTCCCAGAACCTTGGCTATTCTCACCAACTAGAGGGAAACAAACAGCCAGTCACCTTAAATAAAATACTGGCTGGGTCACCACTGATGAGATCTGAGGCCAGAAATATGCCAATGCTGTTTTAAAAAAAAAAACTAACCACAATAACAATGGGGGAATAATACCAATTTTGGGTCAACTTTCAATTTTAGTCATCGTTTGACCTTTAACGGAGCTGCTTGTCACCATTTAGGAATTTCAGATATTTCTCTACCTTGACTGGAGTCCACCTTTGGTAAATTCAGGCCCTTCCTCTGTGACTAGTACATTTTGCCAAGCAGGCAGCTCTAGGAAGAGTCCTGTTTGTTCCAAACTTCTTCCAGAAATGTGTGTCCTTCCCCAGATCTGAGCCTCAACACAATCCTGTCTCTGAGCTCTACAGCAGCTCCTTCCTCCTCATGGTTTCTGCTCTACTCTGCATTGTCAGTTGTGTGAACTTATATAGACAGGTGTGTGTCCTTCCACATCATGTCCAATCAGCTGACTTTACCCCAGATGGACTCCAATCACGGTGTAGAAACAAACAAAGTCATTATTTTCTCTCTCTCTCTCTCTCTCTCTCTCTCTATATATATATATATATATATATATATATACATATATATTATTCTTTTATGTATGTTATTCCTTTTTAAATAATTTGCAAAAAATTCTACAATTATGTTTTGACTTTGTCATCATGGGGCACTAAGTGTCTGAAGACTTTCTGAATGCACTGTATCAGCTACTGAAGGACTGTAGATGTTCAACAGGAGAATTCTGCCCCAACATCCAACCCTGCTTTGTGTTTACCTGGTCATAGTTGTCATGGCCATGGAAGAAGGGCTCCTTCCTGAAGATCATGCTCGCCAGCATACAGCCAAGGCTCCACATATCCAGACTGTAGTCATACATCTGAAACACAAAGTACACGTCTTAAAAGAGCGCAGATCAAATGAAAACAGGAAAATGAAATTCTATCCAGCCCGATATTTTTTTGGTTTGTAGAAGAGATGACAAATAATGCAAATCACTGTGGTTAATCTGTAGCGTAATACAATGGTCAGCGCAAGTGCGCTTATGCACAGGAATATAGAAGTTGGGAAAACGTAGTGCCAAGGAAAGGGCTGTTTGACAGCAAAATAAAGCTGTGAAAATATTCAAAATATAGCTTACACTTGACCAAGTGACTCAAACATGTTTGTTCTGCTGTCGCCCTCTACACAAGTAAAATGCTCAGCTTCTGTACCAGTACTCCTGCCTTCTTCTCCAAACTGGAAACTGACTATGACTGACTAAGTGTGACTCGGCTTCTCTGCTCTGCTGTCTACTGTGTATGTGGTGGATGATCCACTAATTTCACTCCCTAGTTTCTTCAAGTGATGATAAAAGAGACAACTTTAAAGGGATACAACAGCAGGTTTTGTCGATTGCTGTTTGGTAACACCATTCAACCACTGACCCCTCCTCCCAGGCTGAACAAGCAAGAGATCAGTGTTTGCAAGAATACAGCAGCAAATCATCACACTCACTTCAGATATTGAGATCCATGTGCAACATTTTGTTTGTTTTCAAGCACAACTCAAAAAGCCGAAGTGCCACTTTCATGCCCAATTGCAATATCAAATTGAAATACTGAACATGGGTGCAAGGTTTTGTGAGTTTTTACACTCCATAAAGGCCTCAGAGATTTGTTTTTTCATGAGTTTTCAAGCAGCCAGAGCCCCTCAAAAATGCATTTTCCCAGCAGAATAATAATAATAATAATCTCTACAAAAGCAATAGGTTTATTGCACCTTCAATGACAGAGACCTTTCCGGCCCTAGCATCCTTTGTACTCCGGCCCTTATAAATGCAAGGACAAAAGCTTTGAGATGCACCATCTGCAACTCCCCTGTGAAACACTTAAATGTGCCCAGCAGTGTTTCAGATTGTGTGTAACTGATAAATCACAAACAAAGCAAAAGGACTTACAAAAGGCTCTCAGTAAACACCAATGACATAATTAAAATCCACCTGAAGCATACTAGCACACAGGCATACCTGATAGTCCACTAAGAGCTCAGGTCCTTTAAAGTAGCGAGAGGCGACTCTGACATTATACTCCTGTCCCGGATGGTAAAACTCTGCCAGGCCCCAGTCAATAAGGCGTAACTACAGACAAAGAAATGAAGCAGTTAGAGAGCTCATGTATTACTGTTCAACAAAGCAAAGTAAATGAAAACTGAATTAATGAGTCCAAGCACAAAAAGGCAGCAAAGAACAGGCAAACAAAAAGCTACACAACAACAATAATGATTAAACTTGGTTAATAGTTCAATTTAATATTTCAGATACTTTTTTGTTTTGGCCAAAGGGGCACAAACAGCGATTGTGTTTATCACTCACCTTGCGGTGTTCATGATCAATCATCACGTTATGTGGCTTCACATCTCTATGCATAATTCCCATGCTGTGGCAGTAGTCCAGGGCCTATAGAAAAGAGCAGCAGGGCCTTGTCATCCATTGGTCAAAAGGTTTTTCTACCCAGAAATTTTAAAACAGCAACAAAATACTGGACAACACACAAGGTGTTGATGGAAAAACCAGAGGCGAGGTTTGAAACTGTATGAGAACCAAAGCATGTACAAAAACCAAACCAAACAAAACAACAATAAGCTTCTTTCAAAATGCATTTAACCCTCATCTGAGGACCTAATGCTTCACCAGCCTCAGGGTGTTTAGAGGGAACACATTATGAGCCAAGATGCGGCTGGAGGACTCACTTTGAGGATCTCGTACATGTAGAACCGAATGTCATAGTCTGTCAGGGTCTGGTACAGTTGCTGGAAACCAAAGCAAGTAATTAGTCTTTCTATTGTAATACAGGTAATGGACAACACACATTGATGGAACAGTCAGACATCAGACAGCACCTGGTAGGATTGTGCCAGTGACTGAGGATAGAACCAGAAGATGGTTGACTTTCTGGCACCGAAGACATAACACTGGACTTTTATTTTCCTCCATCACATACACACACGTGTACAGAAAAACCACTAGTATGCCAAGAAAGGAGGTATCCATTATCTCACACAACAAAGGTTTATAAATTATGAAAAGTTTAGTTCCTACCTTGAAGTCTGTGTTGTTGACATGTTCAAAGACCAAAGCGGGTGTGCGGGACTGCAAAATATAATAGGTTTTTATTTGATATGTTGCAGTCTCAACCAACAATATCTACTAACACGTGTAGTTAAATTCATCTGTTTGGCTGAAACAGTAACACTGTTATAAGTTATGGCACTAATGCAAATGCTGTATGAACCAACTAGGCAGCCACACTGTGAGCAACACTATGGCTAAATTTCATTATGTCTGTTTGTTTCCTGTAGATATGAGTGAGCAGGGAAACTCAGTCAGCATATGAACAGTCATCAGGACAGATATTGGCTGTCACTAGGCATTCAAATTTCAGCAATTACAATTTCTCTTGTTTTGATTTTTAACTCACCAGCTTCACCACTGATGATAGGAAATACAGCCATTCAGGACGGGCTATTTCTACAGTTTGATTTTAAATTCTAGTTAAATGACATCTCCAAAACAAGACTTTTAACAGTGAATCCAATGTTGGGTTAATATAAGTCTTTTCTTTTCTTTTAATGCAGTGTACTTAGCACTTGCTGGCAAATTATTTTGACACTAAAACTGCTGACCATTTATTCACAAACGATCATTTGTTGCTTACAGTGTGAACTAACTGCTATGTACTACTTTATATGCTATTAATCTGCATCTAAGATCACAAGTTGCCAGGGCCCAAGTAATGTATTAAAACTGCAAATCAAAATGTATTCAATTTACAATGATGTAAAAGGAAGCTGAAAATCTTATGGCATTTTTACTTGTGTTTTTTCAATAAAACACCATTTGTCTGTAATGCATCTTCAGTCAACTGGTTCATCAACAAATTGCATCATCAAACACTATAGATTATCTCAGGTGGCGACAGGTGAGTCTCATTTTCATTTTTTCACACAAATACAAAGAAGAGAATGACTGTTGTTGTTTCTTTGTCAATGACTGAGTGACAGAGTTGGGTGAGTGGTGAAGTTATACCATTAGTGACTGAGTGTTGGACTTTTCCCATTGGCCATTGCTCTTTCCAAATGACTTGGCATGAACAAATTTCTGTTATGTCATCAGGGGGTGTTTACAGCAGATTCACAACAGTTTACAGTATCTCCTCAAATAGCTAGTGTGGCCTTTATTTACCTCAACTGCAGAAGGTTCTGATTGGGTGGCCTGACCCATCCAGGTACAAAGACCGCTCTACTAGGCGTAGGAGTACGGTTAGAACAAACCTGTTGGTAGAGGAAGGGGAGCAACGTGTGTCTCCTCAAGATTCTGATGCTAGCTCCTATCCCAATTCCAAAACCCCAGCTACTAAACAGCAGACTTAAGCTGCCTAATTTTGCAGTGTCACCACATATAACAAGTCAGGTTATTATTGATCTGATGTTGATCTTGCACAAATATAATGTAGAGTTTTAATAAAGAAAACTATTTTTGAATCAAATTTTGTCTGAAAAAAGGGGTCAAAATCTAGTATGTGGCTGGACCACATATGGTCAATGTTCAAAATTTAGGACATAGTTGAAAACTGTTGTATACTCGCTGCTGACAACTAATATCATCTTTTTGCCATTTTGATACTTCTTTTGGATGCTTGTCTGACAGCCATTATTCGTCACCCACGATGCTGTCTTTGGTTTATAAATTGTGTCACAACCAGTCACACTTTTTGCTTGGTTCATATAGAGTATTCATTGAGCAGCTCTGTTATTTATTCATTAGGTGCTATATGTGTTTTGATTTGAAAGTTCAGTTGCTGTGCATGCTGCAGTTAGCAGGCTAGTTGTTTAACATGAAAACAGGCTGGTTAGCAGCCACTGAACTTTTAAAATGAAAATTTCTTAATATAGCACCTTTTAATGATGCGAACTGTATGATTCATCTGAAAAGTAGATCACATGCCAAAGTAAAATTGTCCATGATATAAGTTCATGAGATCGCCCACCTCTAGACCACACCATTAGGTTAAAAGGCGGAGCAGGGCAACTCATTACACACATGTATAAGTTTTTGATGTTTCTACATTAATGTTTTTATACAAAACATAATGTAAAATAATGGTATTCTGGAGATTATGTTTAGTATAATTACACTATACCAATCAAACCTAAAAACATTGCTAAATTTGGCTGAATTATAAGGGCCAGAAGTGCTCCTAAATGAAGAACTGTTTGCAGAACTGAGCTAAATGATCTGACTCACTAAAAAGACCCAGAATCCCCATCACTACATTGCTTCTTATGCAATAATGAAGTTAGAAGTTCCATTATCTTGTGTGATGAACGGTCGTTCCAGATGGTCGGGCCCACTTTAACATCTGCTGGTGCCTCTTCTCTATGGAAGGTAACTAAGGTATGCCCAAAAAGTCATTAGGTGCTTTTTTTGCAAAAAAGTCTCTTGCAACAAACGGGCTAAGTTGATAACTCTGCAGGTTCTACACACCCCTCTCATAGAAACTGTTCGTGCCACACAGCATTCAGTTGACCAATGGTGTAACTCAATCACTGAACTCTATCATTCACTCAGTCTCAGTTTGGTCTTATCGCCGAACCCTTCATTCAACTTCTCATTCAATTTGTAAAGATGATATTATCATTAGTAATGCACTCTATTTTAAATCTAGTTTTTGTATCACTTTCCTACACATTGATCCACTAGGACTGCCATCCTGCAATCTGCTCTTTTTTTAAATTCAAAACAGAATTGAATCTATATGGATTATAAATGTTTATGATGGCACTGGCATATCATAATATAATAACAATGCACTGTTGTTCCATTTTTAGAGAAAGCCCTGGCACAAGTTAGGAGTACAAGACTATAAATGCTTAGATACATCTAACTTAAAGCCACAGCTCACTTAGTACTTACAGACACATACTTCTCCAACCCAAGTGAAATCGATAAGCTTGCACAGGTGGTGGGCTCACCACGCTATTGGTACAGTAATCATATTTCAGAACCCAGACCAGTTTGTTTTTTCATAAAATGTTAAAACATGTTATCAGGAAAACACACAAAAATATAGATATCATTTAAATATAGCATTTGCTATAACCATGACCAAAGATTCAAGTGTTCTTGAAAAATAATTATACTTTACTTACTACAGGGTCTTTCACAATATCTATGAGGGAGATGATGTTAGGACCTCCGCGTAAATTCTCCAAAATCTTAATCTCACGCTTGATTTTCTTTTTCTTCACAGGCTAAAGGGAAAAGGAAGAGACAGTTAGATGGAGTTCAGGATAGAGCCTTATCATTCAATCAGAGTCACTGACTCAATCTACACCTCTGTCTCTGGATAGATTTACCTTCAGTATCTTCACCACAACTTTCTCATTATTGGTGATGTTGATTGCCTCAAAAACTTCACTGTACTTGCCACGCCCAAGCTTCCGCACTAACTGAAAGTCATCCTGGTTTCTGCGGAGGAAAAATCACAACCATACATCAGCTGGGTTAAAGCATTCCCAAACAGCATGTTGCAAGAATTATGTGCGGGTCAACAAGGTATTTACCCCCATTCAACTACATGGGACTCGTAGTCCCAGTACTCCCTGGGCCGGTGGGTGTTGACCTCAGTGTACACACGGGCCCGGCTCGGCACGGGTCCTGACATGTCCGACAGCTTGGCGGATGGGATGGAGAGATCTTATTGCAGCAGAGGACGGTTGGAGTTCAGGGAGGATGGGTGGAAGATAGGAAGACGAGGGAAGGTAGGGAACAAGGGAGGTTGATCCCAACAGGCCAAGGGTTTTTTGGGGGGATGGAAGGGGGGAAGGGGGGTTGTTTGAGGACGGGGGGAGGGGGAAGGGGGGGGCACCAGGGGCACGGTGGAATAGCTAACATAGAAGTTGGGAGAAAATTAAAGATTAGAGAAATTGAATTCCTGATTCATCCCGCTACATCACAGTATTGCAGTACCTTCATCACTGGTGTATGCAGTGTCTCCAGCCATACATTTACAATGATATCAAATGAAGAAAAGCCACAAAGCCCCACACCAGTTTGTTTGACATTGCCCCTTAATTAATTTATCAGAAACGTCATGTATTCATTATGTATTAGTACATCCCTTTGCTGACATTGACGAAAATGCCAAGTTCACTGCTGCAAGGCTATCTTAAGCTAGCAAACCTTTAACTGCTAGTACTGTTTTGCTCTCTAAGCTCACAAACCCTATAGGTCCCCCTCCACGGTAGTACACTGCTCAGCCTCTGCGCCGGTACTCCTGCCTGCTTCTCCAAACACTGATACACTGACTATGAATAAGTACCTAATACAACCACACGTCAAATATCCCAATAATATCGATTGTTCCAATGTATCATCTATTACAGTGAGACTCGCCAGTAAAAATTGTATTCATAGGTCTAAGTAACAGTTAATAACTGAAGATTTAATTGTTTGTAATCCACCGCCGCAACATGAATGAATATATTTTCCAGACCGACCCGATCAATTGCCCCATTAGGCATTAGCTTGCTAGACCAATCAACATTAAATTCAGTGAAAATTTGACTTTCACTAAAGGCTCCCACAGTCATTTTGCGTCGAAAGGCACAATGATGGGTACATGAATCATTCGAACCAGTTTATGTTCAAAAGTTAGCAGTATACAGTTACTCACTCAAAATTAACAGACATCCGCTATGTAAAGTTCTATCGACATTTGTATAAAAACTGAAGATTTTAGGGTGTTATGAAATAAGTTTCAGACGGTGATGGAAGGGGCTACATTTTCCGACGACTACGAAACTATAATTTCTTATTTCGGTGCAAGCAAAAGGTGTTGAAAACTTATCGGCTCGAGGTGGGCCCTAGTTACTAGCCTTGTTGCTAACATTAGCACGGGTAACGTTCGTGCTCTCAAATTATCACAGAGTATATGAGCCGGTATTGTCAACAGCAGAGAAAATTCAGGAGTTGATATTTACCCCCTTGATCACTTCGAAGAGCGAAATGCTTCCCAACAAGCTGAGTTTTGTCAGGCCAACGGCTCTCGCCCCCTCCGTCGCCGGTGTGTCTGTGCCAGTGTGTAACCACTGCTGTATCAGCGACAAAATGGCTGACCACATCCACCAACGTCTCCGAGTATTGAAACGGGGGCCGTGGAGGGACAACTATTGCAAAAGTGCAGACAGGCAGCGGCTGAAAATTCAAAATAATCTCTTTTCTAACCACGTTTCCTTGACCTTGGTGGAAAACGTCATGGGGTCATGGAAATGTGAAGGAGAATTCATAAGGACTTAAAAAAACAACTGTGGTTGAAACTAGTTGTTGAAATATTGAAATAAGATGAAAGACATATACTACAAGTAGAAAAAGTTGAGCCATTAAAATAATAATTCAGTAAAAATAAATAATATTATTCTCCTGGGTTGACACAAACCTTATCACACAGATGCATTTTTGAGAATATCATACTTTTGTAAACAGCACCTAATCCATTTAATTTGTATTCGTTTATTTCTCAGTGTTTTTATTATTACCGTTCCTCTTAGTTCAAGAGTAAGAAATACTGTATTTCTCTTTATACTTTTTCAGTCTCTCTCTCTCTCTCTCTCTCTCTCTCTCT